ATATGCCCGGGCCGCAATTTACATAAAAAATAAAAAATGGGCCGCAATTTACAGCGACCCATTAAAAGGAATCCGAAGGTGATTCTGTCATTCACTCAGATTAGTGGCCCTAGTACCGATGTTTAACAACAGAAGGATTCATTCATGAAACTGTTAATCATCGAGAAAATTATATTGACCCCTTAACAGGTGCCCTGCACATACAAGGTGTTGAAAGATCACAGTTGGATGCAAAAATATCAATATTAAAGAAAAAGAGAGACGTACCTATTGATATAGTAATATAATAAAGACATATGCTACAATCACATTTAGATCAGTATTGTTGGAATATGTGGCGGAAAAGTAAACCAGATATATGTTCACTGCTTTTTTAGAAGATATGCGGGCTACATACATAAATAACGATGAGTGACGACTAAACTGACTAAAACGAAACTTATATTATGTGGATGTTATTTAAATTTGAATATGTTTTAGCTATACGCGGGTAAATATTTTTGAAATACATTGCAGTGAGCCTACAAATCGCGTTTACCAAAAACAGGTTTATAGATCGCACGCTACACTAGCACTATTTAATTGTATGAATCAATATAATTATTAATTATATATATTATCAATATAATCCTATCAATTATACATAAAAATGAATTTAAATTATTCACCTTTAATATGAGTAATTATAAAAGAAACAACTTCCATTAAATATTTCGGAAAAACTAATAGTGGACCTAATTACTTGAGATATTATAAGTACCTAATAACCTAATAATTATATTTTGTGAACAAATACGGTTAAAAGACGTCTGGAAGTGTCATAATTTATTGTAGGGTGGAGAGATTCCAAGCTTYTGAAGTTCTGTCGTTCTGACATAATATTTATCCTTGATAAACTAAATATCAGATTAAAATTTATTTTTATCATTTCATTGAAGCTTATAAAATTAATCCCCTCCCCCAACTGAAAACATCAAACTTAGAAATACACTATTAACGGTTGCCCACATATTACACTTAAGTTGGATTTCAGACTGAGTGCCGCCGCCGCCGATGCGAAGCACCTGGCCGGTAATCTTACATTTTTGGCGAGTGACGTAAACCACACCACCGGCACACCAGATCAAATCGAAATGCTCATCGACGTATACGATGCGTGCTTTAGACGTTTCAAGAAGATAATGAAGATCGTGTGCCAAATCGAAATGCCACAGTACGAAGGGATAAATAACAATAATAATGATCGTTGTGACTTTTCAACGAGGGATCAAAATTGATATATTAAAATGTTAAATTATAGGATGATAAAGAGAAAATATTAATTTAAAAGATTAATTTTGTATTACTGCAGTTAGAATAAAACAAACAACATAAAACATTTACAATTAAAAGTTGTCAATACAATATAATATTTTGTAAAAAAATAATATATATATATTAATGTACATAGATATTTTTATAAATTAGTATGATGACAAGATGCGCTAAAATTTGAGATTAAAAATCTGAACAATCATTTTTCTTAGCAAGAGTAACCGTAATAAGGCTATTTTATTTTTATTTCTAATCTATATGATTGGATTTATAATAACAGTTATTTATTAGGTTAGAAACTATAGAAACTACTAATCACTTTATTAGTTTTATTAACGGAAATTCCAAATAGTACGTAGCGGTGGAGGCAGTGGCGATGCAGAATTTTTCAATGGGGAGGGGAATTGAAAATAAAAAAATCACTCAGTTGTCTCAAGATATGGTTTGAAAATAAAATAGATATTTTCTTAGTCATATAGTAGTTATATATGTCTTAGTTTAACTTAAAAAATATATGAAAAATAAAGTCCTATAATAATGTGTAATAAAATATATTTTTATTTCGTCCAGTCTAATAATTTTGGTCGCTTAGGTGAGGATTTTACAAATTGTTGTAGAACTTCTAAATCGATCAGTTTTTCTTTATATTTGTTTAAGTTAATCCATTAAGACGTTAGACGTCCCTCTGTCATGGTTGATTTTAAGTACGATTTTAAACGTTTCAATGTTGAAAATTTTATTTCTGGAGCAGCCAATGTTATTGGCAATGAGGCAATCAGTCTAAATTGTACGTGAATATTTGGTACCTTATAAATTTATATGATCAGTTCAATATTAGTTATCATTTATATTTACAAACTATGGTTGTAATAATTAAGTAAAACACACATTTTGAGGTACACTCATGGTCATGGGCAATTACAAAAACAAATAACAATAAATAATATGGCCAGGGAGGCTTGAGACGGTTAGCTAACCTTTTACGTTCGCCACTGGGATGGAGGCCTGGGCTAATCCCTATAATTTTGTCAACTAAATAAATCGGTAAGCAGTTTAATTAGGTAGTAGGTACAAATACAAAGCGGTATTGCACTAAAAATGTAAGCAAAAATTAAATTAGTTAATTTTACATTTTATCTAAGTTACAAATTATTAAAATTTTGTTATCATTTGTATTTATATTTTTGTTACATCAAAATAATTTATAATTATATTATATTATAATTTATAATTATACCTTTAATGGTTGATAAAATAATTAATAATCAATAATATTTATGGCGGTAGTTTGAATTATTTCATCTATTATAATATTAACAATAATTACATATCAAATAATGATTAAGCATTAGAGCGMACAATAATATTACAACACAACATCCCAGACAACCTGTACGAAGCAATTGGTCCATTTTCAAACTTTCATAGCATAATTTTATACTTTAAAAAAATA